GCACCCTGCACGCCGCAGGGCGACTTGCTCGACCTCGGCGCGCCGTCCACGCCCATCATCCGCTCCGTCATGCAGTGTGCGCGGGCTTCCTCTCCTTGCCCCGACCCGCTCCCGCGCGCGGCTTGGCGCGCCCGCGCGAGCTCGATCGCTTCGCTGGAGGCCCCTTCCTTTCCTCGCGTGATCGGGCCAGTGTCTGCTCCTGGGCCCATCGCATCCGATGTCGCCTTCCAGCAGAGGGTCGGCAGTGCCGCGGACGAGCTCGCAGCCGATTGCGCGCGCGAGGGCGCCCTGCCGCACGCGCCGGGGAGCGCCGAAGCCGCGCTGGAACTGCCGGCCGCGCGCTGAGGGCTGCCGCCGCCGCCGAGCGTGCCCGCGCGGCCCAGCGGGGCGGCTTCGCGGCCGGGGCGCAGCTTCGCAACCGCGGCCCTCGGCGCCGAGATGAGCCGCGCCCTTTTGCTGCCTCGCGCCGAGCATTAGGTCGGGCATGTCCTCCTACAGGGGGACTTGGGCGAAAAAGGGATATCGTCAACGCATCTGCAAATATGATCACAAGTATACAACGCATCGTCTCCATATGCCTTTTCAATATTTTTGAACAATCCTCTAGTATAGGGACACGCCCAACTTAAGCCGAGCAGCGCGACCCCGTGTTCGCAGGCTTCGACGCCGCCGCCGCCTTCCCGCCCTTCGGGCGCGCCTGGCTCTCCCGCGCACTCGAGCACCTGCTGTTCCGGCTCAGCCATCTCGGGCTCGTCGGTGCCCTCCGCGCTGGGTTCCCCATCGATTCGGGCGTCGCGTGGGGGCCCTCTTCCAGCGGCTCGGCGAGGGCCATCGCGAAGGGCCCCATCGGTGCGCCACGTCGCGCTCCTAGTGGAGCCCTCCATCGGCGCCCCGACCTCGACGAGGGCTTCGTCGGAGGCTGCCCAGGCGACGTCGGCGTGCTCGCGCGCGAGGTCGACGCGCCGCGCCGCGCCGTCGAGCGGGTCGCCGCGGTTTAGGAGCGGCCCAGGAGCTTGCTCTGCGCACCCCGAAGCCTCGGAGGCGCGTCTCGGCGCCTCTTTGGGGCGCCGCCCCCCGGCCATCGTCGCTGCCGCCCGCGCCCTCTGGGCGGGGTTCCGGCTTTTCTGTGCTTGCTCTTGCCGTTCCGGGGCGAGCCAGATACTTCGGTGTCTTCCTGGGCCCCCTCCCGCGCCCCCCGCCTGCCAGTGGCTCGCCCCTGTGACGGGGAGGGGGCCGTTTGCTGCTGGTCTTGGACGGCGGCGACGCGAGCGCGCGCCATTGCAACGCGTCCATTCTCTCCACCTTCAGTATCGTGTTTCAGATCTTATTTTTGAGAAGCGAACCGTCCATCGTGAGCTATGCGTTGCCCATGCAATGGTGCGCGTGCCCCCGAGCTGTCGTCGCAAAGTTGACGTGGTCCCGATGGCGGAGTCGAGTTCGCCTCTTGTTCCTCAGTCTGCGCGGGTTGACTGCGACCGCGGCCGCCGCCATGCACGCCGCTCCGCGCACTTTCGCTCGCTGTTGTCGACTCTTTCACGCTCGCCCCCGCGATTCTGGGCGAAGGGAGTGCGCGCCGCTCCACGACGAAGCGTTGTCAGCTGGCTTGTGGTGCCCACCATTTGGGAGGAGACGCGGGCCATCGCGCAGTACTGCCATGCAGTGTTGCACGGCCAGCCCTAGTTTTCCCTTTCAGTAGCAGCCGTAAGTGCCGCCCGCGTGGCGGCCAACTCGGGAACTGCAGTCTGCTCCAGCTGCTAAGCCTCCGCGCCAACCGAGGGTGCAGCGAGCTCGTTCGTCAATGTTGCAGTCTCCAGTCGCTGTCACTTCACACAAGCGTCGGTGGCGTGGATTTGTCTGTCACAGCCGACCCTGCCCGCTGAGCCTTCCAAGCGCTGCTCGGACCTGACCGCGCTTCTGGAAACTGCGCGCCCGAGCTGGCGTTGGGTGCAACAGTGTCAGCTGGTGGTGGTCGACAACCCACTGCATGCACGTGCTCGGCCCGAGGCACAGCGGCGTCGGCTGTCAGCATGCTCCATGCTCTCTCCTTCGCGAGTTGTCCAACCCAGTCTGCGACCCCTCGGTGGTGCGCGCGGTGAAATGGGTAACGCTCGCCTTTCACGTATGCAACACGATACGGCTGCTGCACTTGCTCATCCTGCAAAGATGGGTTCGGCGACCAGCACAGCTAGTCCTTCGGCGCTAACTGTCTCGCGGTCCGCCTGGGTCTCTCAGGTGTAGCGGTGGCTTCGGAGACACGCGGCGCCCCCCAGGGTTCTGTCAATCCTCCTACCTCTCGCCGGATTCCTCGTGCCTCCCCCCCTCCCTGTTTCCCTCCACCTCTTCCTCCCGGGCCGCTGTGGTGCACACTTTGTTGCTCAATAGCACCATCCTGGTGCTTGTAGGCCATTGGTGTTCGATGTCACCTCACTGGTGTTCGCAGGAATAGTCTGGTGTAGCAGCCGCACCAATGTTATCAGCAAGCGAAGCGTAGTGTTCTCAGGCGCTCAGGCGCACAGGCGCATTACTCGCGCTCGTGTGCAAAGTGGGTGTTCGCAGGCTATTGTAGGATGTGTCCGATCCCGTAGGCTGTTGTGCTTGGATTCGCGACATGCGCAGAGGAAATGTGGAGCTCCCCAGAGCCGGATCGTCGTCGTCGTCGTCCGCTTCGTATTCGCACGGGGGGGGAATGCCGCACCTCCGTCGGGCCTGGGGGTGCGCTGTTATGCGCTAGCGCCTGTTCTGTCGCCCATGCGGTCGTGGTTCACGCTGGCGGGATGCTTTGAAGTTGTAGCCGTCGCCGTCGTCCGCCGCGTCGTGGTGTCCGCACAGGGGGCGCCCGCGGCGCGTTGGGTTTCCCCCCCCCCCCCCCGCAAAGCGCGTTATCCATATGTTCTTTTAAACCACTATCACATTATGTTGGGTCCACGCTCACACAAACAGGTGTGGTTCTGGATTGTCGCCCGTTTCTGGGATGCGGGGGCGCCAGGACGCCAGACGATCGCCAAACACAGCGTAGTTCGACAAGAGAAGCGGACGTCATTGAATTATCAAGCTGCTTCGAAAGTCCGGCGCAGCACGCGCCTTGATTTCGCAACTCGAGTGCCCCGCACGACTGTTCTCGGCCTCTGGTTGACATTTGGAAAGCGTTAGGGAGTGAGCAGCAGAGAGCACAAACTTGCCCTGGTGCTTCATTGCCGCCATTGCCAACAGCAGCGCTAAACCAACCATTCAGTCAAGTGTTTAGAGTGCGCAATCGATACTGGCGGAATGTTTGTAGCACCCCGCACTTGCGGATAAGAGAGACGGGGGCGGGCGCGGGGGTCGCGGGTGGGTCGCGGGTGGGTCGCAGGTGGATCGCGGGAGGGTCGCGGGTGGGTCGCGGGTGGGTCGCGGGTGGGTCGCGGGTAGGTCGCGTGTGGGTCGTGGGTGGGTCGTGGCTGGGTCGGGCGTGGGTCGCGGGAAGGGTCGCGGGTGGGTCGCGGGCCGGGTCGCGGGTGGGACGACGACAACAACAAGCAACAACAACAACAACAAGCAAGCAAGCAACAACGAAGAAACAGCAAACAAACAAACAAGCAAACAAACGAACAAAATAACAAACAAACAGCAACACCAACAACAAATCTGCACCGCGGAACACAAGGACAGTGAATGACCGTTCGGCCCTTTCAGTCTGATGACCGACAAGGGCACAGCCGAAAGCAAGAACACACGCTCGCGCGTTTAGTACACTATGTACCGTCTTTCGTGCGGTGAGGTCTTGCTTCCTCTGCTTCAGGTATGCCTGCTATCATCTCTACACTCCTTACTTTCTTCCTCTAGATGATGATGATGATGATGATGATGATGATGATGATGATGATGATGATGATGATGATGATGCTGATGATGATGATGATGATGATGATGATGATCATGATGATCATGATGATCATGATGATCATGATGATGACGTTGATGATGCTGATGATGTTGTTGATGTTGATGATTATGATGACGATACTGATGGTGATGATGATGGTGGTCAGGATGACGAGGATGATTAGGATGATGAGGAGGAGGATGATGATGGGGAAGAGAAGGAGGAGGATGATTATGATGATGCTGGTGATGACGATGCGGATGCTGGTGTTGGTGATGATGCTGGTGACGATGATGATGATGATGATGATGATGATGATGATGATGATGATGATGATGATGATGATGATGATGATGCTGATGATGATGATGATGATGGTCGTGGTGGTGATGATGATGATGATGATGCTGGTATTGATTATGTTGATGCAGGTTATGGTTATGATCCCGATGCTGATGATGATGGGGTCGGTTTTCCTGGTGTATCCCCACAGGCGGAGTGTGTGACATGGCAGAGTCAGCTGTCCCTCGGGGACTGTGCCAACCCTCGATACAGTCTCGCTTGCTGAGCGCGTTGGACCGAACGACTGCAGAAACGAGTGAGAACAAGCCGCCGTTACGATCAAGTGTTCCTTTCCTTCTTTGCCGTCGCCTCCATCCCTCCCCCACTCCTGCACATGGTGGTGCTCGTCGACACGCCCTTGTACGGCGACACGATCGGGGACCAGGCACCTCAGGTGGTTACTTGGTCCCCGTATCGCGCGCGGGTCCTACAGTCCCGTGCTGAGCCGAGCGTCGCCGCGGCCTGCTCCGAGCGGCGTTGGGATCCGACCTTTCTTCGGGGGCGCTCTCTCTCTCTCTCTCTCTCGTGGCTGCTGCCAGACTCTCCTCACTTTCCTGCTCTAGCAGGCCTGGAGGTTGACACCAACACCAACATCGGCGGTGTGCCTCCACCGAGGGAAGAAGATCCCGACCTTGGTGATGGTGATAATGTTATGGCTTCCAAGGTGACCGAAATATTACCACCAACACCGAAATCGAGGATCATCTCCCCCCTGTGGAGGCAAACCCCTGTGTCGGTGTTGGTGCCAATTTCCAGGCCTCCAAAGCTCTGGTGCACCCCGCTGCGCCCGCGGCAGGCACGCGCCACGCCGGCGGCCGTGTGGCACGCCGCTCCCGAGCCAGCGGCGGCGTGCTTCGGCGGAGTGCCAGGCCGGCCGCCGCCGCATGCGCCCGTGGGCCGCCTTGGCTCTGTCAAGCAGTGGCGAAGCGTCCTGGCTCGCCTATGGGCCCAGCAATGTTCTGAGAACCTTTTGTGGTCTGCACGACATGTTCTTAGAACATTTCTGGTGGATGCTGTCTCGGTTTAACAAGTCGGGACGTTCTAATAACATCGTTCTGTTCTTGGAATATTTGGGGGTTCTGGGACAATTTCGTGATACGCCTATAGGAATGCCGGGACGGTCGGTCCCTGGCCTGTTCGATTCTGGTGGTATACAGGAGCGTTAGAGGAGGAGAAGGTACCTCTAACGCTACCCTTGCCTTGTCTTCGCCTCTTTGGGCCTCCTGGGAGGCTCTCGTCGCCACCGCTGGATTCGCCTCGAAATCCTGGTCAGAATGCGCTCTGGGAGAGCTCCAGAGAGCAGCGGTATCGGTATCTTTTTGTATCCCCAATGCAGGAGCGGGCGGGCCCGCTCCTGTCCCCCCTGGTCCAGAGCCAAGGAAGCCCAGAGCCAAGGAGGGAGGGAGGGGAAGAGGATGAGGGCCCTCGGGAGCCTCTGCCAGCGCGGGGAGGGGGTCAGGGAAGGGGAAGGAGAGGAGGTGGAGGTGGAGGTGGAGGAGGAGGACGAGAAGGGGGAGAGGTTCAGGAGGAGGAGGAGGAGGAGGAGGAGGAGGAGGAGGAGGAGGAGGATCGAAATTGTAAGATGTGTGTTGTTCCCTCTTTGGGGGGGCCCTTCAGGCCCTCTGCCTCGGTCTCCAGTCTTTGCCTCTGCCTCATGTCGGTTCCTCTCCGCTCTCTCTCTCTCTCTCTGTCTTTGCCTCTGCCCGATATTCCGTCTCTGTCCTTATATCCTTTGGTCCGTCTCTGCCTCTGTCCAGGGCAGACGAGAGAGGTGGGGGTGGGCGCTCAGCAGGCAGGATGAGGGACCGGGGGGGGGGGCCCTCCCCCTCCTCCCCCTCCCCTTCCTCTTCCCCATCCCTTTCCTGTTCCCACCCCTTTCCATCCCTCTTTCCCTCCCCTTCCGCCTCCCCCTATCCCCATCTCCATCTCTTTCCCGCATCCCCCCCTCCCCTCCCCCTTCCCCCCCCCCCTCCATCTCCACCTCCACCTCCATCTCCATCTCCATATCCTTCCCGCATCTTCATCTCCTCCCCCTGCCCTTCCTCCCCCCCTCCTCCCTCCCACCTCTCTCTTGCCCGCCTCCCCCCCCTCCCCAGGCGCGGTGCACAGGCCCCCCGCCTCGGTGCAATCCTCGCAGGCCCAGGAGCCGCTCGCCCGGGCAGCGGGCGGCCTGCGGGCGAGCCCGCAGGAGGGCCCCCCCGCCGGGGCCGCGCCCTGCGGCCTCTGCCGCTGCGGGCTGCCGCCGCGGCTTCCGCCGCCGCCTCCTCCTCTCGGCCCCCCCCCACGCCCCCTCAGGAGGGCCCTCCTCCTCTCGGGGCGAGCCCGCCCCCCTCCTCCTTGTCCTCCTCCTCCTCCTCCTCCTCCTCCTCCTCTTCTTCTTCCTCCTCCTCCTCCTCCTTCTCCTAGGCTGTTGGGCATGACTCTGTCTCCTCCATGATCGTGCGGCGCTCTCGACAAGGGTATGTCCTGGCTACCTCTCCTGGGCCCGCAACCGCTCCCATGGCGCCCTGGACTCCAAGTGCTTCCTGCTCTTCGATGACTTCCCCAGGACCCGCTTCGCGATCCTCTGGGACCCTGGTGGCCTGCCCGTCGACCCAGAGTCTATCTCCTCACTCCCTGTGGTCCGCGCCGTGGATCCCACCTTGCCCTGAGTGCTCTCCTCCGAGGCCCTCCCGTCGCTGCATCTTCTCGACTGTCCCTGCGCCCTCTTTTGCCCCACGCGCCCCGCCCTGCCCCCCCACGCCTGTTGCCACGCCTGCCATCCTGTCCGTTCTTCCTTCCTCCTCCCTTGTGACCCCCCTGCTGCTGCCCTCTGCCGTCTACCCTCGCTCCTCTCCCTTGACGTTCGATCTGCCGCTGACGTTTTCCCCGACCCCTTCTCTGTCCGTCGCTCCGATGAGCTCTGCTCCTGCTGCTGCGTGCTCCTTCCCCGCTTCTTCCTCCTCGTCGCTTCCGATTGCGAATCGGGCGGCTGCGGCGTCTGGTGCCGCCGAGCCCTCCTCCTAGAGTGGAGCTGACCTCCCCTGTACGCTGTCCTCCTCCTCCTCCTTCTCCTCCTCCTCCTCCTCTCGGGGCGAGCCCGCACGAGGCCAGCACCTCGAGAGCGGGGCCGCGCCCCGCGGCCTCTGCCGCTGCGGGCTGCCGCCGCGGCTTTCCCGCCTCCTCCTCCTCCTCCTCCTCCTCCTCCTCCTCCTCCTCCTGCTTCTTCTATTCTCTGTGAGCAAGCTCCTGCTGTCTCCGCAGCTTCTCTGCCCAAGTGCCCCCCCGTCGGCCGCGCGTGCGGACGCCTTATGCAGGCGGTCGCACAAGCGGCTCTCGGGGGCGCTGGGGAGATCTTCTTCAGGGGGCTGCGGGCCGCGCTCTACGAGCGGCTCGTGTCTGCCCCCCTCTCTGTGCTTCAGGACCAAGGGCCTCCTGCGCCTGCCTGGTCCATCCAGCAGGCGGACTCGTCCGAGGGTGAGGGGGCTTACTGCCCCCTCCCTTCGGCGGGTTCCGCCTGCCCCACCGTCTGCCTCGGGCTGGCGGTGGATCTGAGCGGCGGGGTCTCTCCCTGGCTGCTCAGCACGGTCGTCGCCCTCCTTTGGGTGACGGCCGCGTGCAGCGCCTGCGCAGGCTGCTGCTTCGGGCTGCTGGGCCCGTACGTGTGGCGGAGGCTCAGGGCCTCCGCCTGGCCGCGCGGTGCGGTTCCTGCTTCCCCTGAGCAGGACCGCCGTGCGGCGCGAGCGCTGGCTTACGGGGTTCCGCCTCGGCCTCGAGCGCTCGAGCGGGCAGACGCCCAGCATTCGGGCGGCAGTTCCCACGACAGCGCCCATTGATGGCTGAGCTGCCACCAGTTGGCGGAGGGCCTCTATGGCCCGAGCTCTACCCATTCGCGGCTCCCACGGCTCGCGATTACGCACGATGGCGCCTAGACGACGGCGACACCAGCTGGGCAGCTATCCCCCTCGCGTCTCGAGAAGGGGGCATCCTGCTGGCCCTGCCTGGCGCCTTTCGCTCTACGGCGGAGCTCGTGGCTGCCGAGGCGGATGGCTTTGCAGGAATGATAGGCCCTTTCCAGCTAGTGGACGTCCAGCTCCAGGGGGCCGCTTCACGGCCGCTCGCCACTACTGCATCCGTCCTCGTCGTAGATATCGAGGTTGCAGAGCTCGAGCTCGAGTCGCTTTACCCTCTAGAGGTCGGGGAGGACGCAGTCATCGTTCCCTTCGCCGAGGTGCGGGGCCGCGTCTATTGGCCACATCCTTCGGGGGTTCGGGTGCTTCGCGAGGGCTACGCACGCTTGCACGGCGCCCCGCCTACTGCAGGAGAAGAGCCGCTCCCAGGGGCCGATCGGGCTACTCCCTATCACTCTGCCGACGAGATGGAGGAGCCCGAGGGGTTCGCGGCCGACGGGGAAGCCGACCGCACGGCCCCAAGTGCGCGATCTCCCGCGGACGCTGGAGCGCCGCGCGGCCCGCCCGCGAAGCGCGCGGGCACCGCCGCGCCGCCACGGGTCGCGGGTCCCGCTCCGATCGCTCCTGGTGCCCCTGCGGCGTCTCTGGACGACGGGGCTCCTATGACCCGTGCCGAAGTAGCTGCCGAAATGCGCGCCTTGCTTGCAGCCCACGCGGCCTCCACGATGGTCGGCAGACCCGAGCCGCTGGGCCCCGCGCCGGCTGCCCGGAGCGATCGGCCCGAGGTGCCTCAGCTTTTCAGCGACGAAGCGGTGCGCCTCGGGCTGGATCCTGCGGGGATCGAGGCCGTCCTGTCTCACGCGCCCGTGGCCCCACAGCGGGTCTCCGCGCGTCCCAAGGGTCCGACCTCCGCGCTGGTCTCGGCGTGGGAAAAGGCGCGCTCTCTTGCTGTCCCTCGGGCCCCTTCGTCCGGTTTCGGAGCGATGGGTCCCCCGCCGCCACCTGGGCTAGCCCATCCCGCTGCGGCCGACGGCTTTGCCGAGGCGGGCGGCGCCGACGGGTCAGAGCCGCCCCATGCGGCCAATCCGACGGACTTCAGCCTCATGCTACAGTGCCTGCACCAGTCCCTCCTATTGCAGCAGGGGCGGGGCCATCGCCCAACCGTCCATCCGCTTCTGGGGACCCTGAGCGACTCAGCTCAAATTCCGCCCACGAGCTCGGGCGACCCCGCGCCCGCATCGGCCCAGATGGGGGGCATTGCTCGGAGGCGCGAGTGGCAGCAAGCGCTGCTACAGCACGGCCCCGATGTGCGAGGACTGATGAAGGAGAATTTGGCCCGTGTCCTGGGCGTGGAAGTCAGCGCCGTGACCCCCATGGCCATGCATCAGTATTTTCGGGAGCACAGTCCCTTGGGGGCTCAGCCGACGACGCACGAGTTGTTGACGCATTTCGCCTTCCTCAGCGCCGAGCTGTGGCGGGCCTGCGAAGAGGGCAACCCCGAGAGAGTCCAGACTTTACTGACGTGTCAGTGCATGTTCATCGACCAGCTGGCGGGGGACCGCGGCTATCTCGAGGCCGCCTGGTTCCTTACGGGGCTGGAGCCTCCCCCGTGTCGCGTGACCAGTCGTCACACGGAGCGCGAGGCCCAGACCCCGTTCTCACCCCTGGTGGATCCTCGCTGGCTGTCGGCGCAGGGCGAATACGTGAAGGAGCTGCAAGCATTTCGGGCGCGTCTCGACGCCGAGCGCGCCGTCGCGCTCCCCAAGCATCCACCTCATCAGCCCAAGCAGCCCAAGGTTTCGAAGCCCCCCTCCAAGTCCCAGGGTGCGTCCAGGGCACCGAAGGCGGTGCCCAAGAAGGACTGAGGGCGCCTTTGGCGCCCGCCTCCTGGAAGGGTGGGCCTTCGCGGGGCCGGGGTACGCCGCCGCGCACAGTCTGCACCGACGCTGTTGCGGCTGCTAGGCGCGTTTGGGCTCAGCGAGGGCGTGAGGGTAGGAATGCGCTCTTCCAGCGATGCTGTTGCGGCCCCGCAGGGAGGAGTACGTTCCGCCACCACGCCCTTCGCTCTGCTCCGAACCGCTTCTCGGATCCCTTCGGCCATTTTGGCCGACGCCTGCCTCAGTCGAGCGCGCCCTCCAGGGGGCCTGCAGCCCCTGAGGTTGGTGTCCCTGCTGGTGCCTGTTCTCCTTCAAGCACCCCTGCTGCTCTTGCCAAAGTCGCGCCATTCGTCGCTGACTTGTCTGCCTTGCTGCGCCTGTTTCCAGGCGCGAACATTGATATCACCCACTGGGCGGCAGCGCTGTCCCAGGTTGGGATGGGTGCTCGATGTTCTCTTGGATCTTTCTCCCGCTCATCTATGCGTGCAATGGACAGGGACGACCCGTACCTTTTGGGGCCGCCTCCCCGCGATCCTTGGCCGTGCCCGCCTGCTCCACCTCTTGGTCCCCCGCCTGACGGCTTGTCGGCGAGGCGCAGGGAGCGCTGGAGATTGCGGCGCGCGGCGCGGACGCTCGCGCAGTATTCTGTTATTGCGTTGAATTGGCTCACCTTGGGTCATCCTAGCCTCGCTCCCGCCGAGGCTCGCGTCCGCGCCACGGTCTCGCCCTGCCAGGAGGGCGTCCGCACCCGTATCGAACGGTTGTGTCGGATCGCAGTTCGCCTCGCCCGTGGCGGCAAGAGCGACTTAGGTCGAGCCTTCGCCAAGTTCGACTCCACTGAGGTCTCGCTCCATGGCCTGGCCACCCATGTTGCAGCTTTGGAGGCCTCCTTCACTTCCTCTTCTTCCGTGCCCGCCCCCATGCGGCACTGCCTGACCAGCGCTCCTTCTGTGCCTGGTTCGTTGGCGGCTGCGGCGGCTTGGGACTCCACCCAGGCCGAGCCCTTCGATTTGAAAGTCAGGGCGTCTCGCATCAAGTGGGATTATTCGCCAGAGTTTGATCCCGTTCCCTTCCTCTCCGACGCTCGAGTCCGCGAAGCTTTCATCGATCCAGAGGTGATGCGGCTACCGGCATCAGAGTGGCCTGCTGGCCAGAAGGGAGCGCGCGTCCATATGGACCGCGCCGAGCTGTGGGCCCTACTCCAGAAGTGGGATGCCTGTGGCGCCCTGTACCTGACTCCTGCTTCGGACCTCGCCTGGGATGAAGCCTGTGGAGCTTCAGGGTACCGAAGGACAGCGATTTCGACAGGCTGATCCTGAACCCCACGGTCGTGAACAGCCGCTGTGCTTCAATTTCGTCCAGCACCCAGCGCCTTGGCCAAGGTTTCCTGCTGTGCCGTTTGGGGCTGGCACCTGGGGAAT